AAGAAGAAGAAGAAGAAGAAGAAGAAGAAGAAGAAGAAGAAGAAGAAGAAGAAAAAGAAGAAAAATCATTATTATTTCTATCATCTCATGTTTATGATTTCCCCTGTCCTGAATTCCCTCCAACAATTCCACTCTCTGTGACTGCCCAGACCCGGACAGTGACGGCATCAGCCAGTGGGAGTCAATCACTACATTGTCCCCCTCCAAACGTACAGAGTTTGTGTATAACTTGGACAACCACACTGACCCTGTTCAGGGACACGCTGCCATCAGGTGAGTCACAGCATAGCAGCATTATGTCATTGTTCACAACATATCAAGAACATGCGTGTTGTGAGTCACACAATAGTAAGGTCATCAAGTGAGTCACACTATAGTAGGACCTTTAGGTGAGTCACACTATACCGTGGTCATGTGGTGAGGCATGAGATAGCATGGTTATTTCATTGTTCACAAAACATCAGGGATATAATATGTCTTGTGAGTCACACAATATTATTCAGGGCCATCAGGGAAGTCACAGCATAGCACGGTTATGTCATTGTTCACAACATATAAAGGATATATGTGCTGTGAGTCAGGCAATAGTACGGCCTTCAGGTGAGTCACACTATAGCAGGGTCATGTTGTGAGACACACCATAAATATAGGGTCATGTGGTGAGTCACATCGTATCAAGTATATGTTGTGAGTCACGCATATTATGAAGGATATGAGGTGATTCACAATTTAGTAGGGCCATTGGTGAGTCACACAATAGTAGGGCCAATCAGTGAGTCACACCATAAATAAAGGGCCATGTGATGAGTCATATAATAGATATAGGGCCATGTGGTGAGTCACACAATAGTAGGGCCTTCAGGTGAGTCACACAATAGTAGGGTCATGTTGTGAGACACACCATATTATTGTCGGGTGGTGAGACACACCATAAATATAGGGCCATATGGTGATTCACACAATAGTAGGGTCATCTGATAAGTTGCACAATAGTAGGGCCATGTGGTGAGTCAGAACATAAATGGTCGCTTTTAATGGACAAGTGGGCTACCCCAGATTCGGGGTGTTCCAGAAATCTTGACCTACACCAACAGGAGAAGTTTGGTTTCATTCGTGTGTATATTTGTTTGGTTATAGAGAAAACTCTCTTTGTCTTTTAAAGAATCTGAAAGAGGTGCACAAACTTTATTTCCGATTTTCTCAAAACAGCATTTTTCGGGATAGCCCCCTTGTGCTTAAAAGTGTCCAAATATAGGGCCTTGCGGTGAGTCACAGTGTATCAAGGATATGTGATGAGTCACGGCATATTATGGAGGATATGTGGTGATTCACACTGTAGTAAGGTCGTGTGGTGAGTTACACTAAAACAGTGTGTCTATTTGTGATTGCAAGCATACTATTGTATTATTATGGTTATGTGCACAGATGTGTGTGGAAGAGAGTATATAATGGAACAGCGTGTGTGTGTACATGGGTGTGCACATGCGCGTGCGTATGCATGTGTGATCATTTTTATGTGTGTATGTCAGTGGGTGCGTATGTGTATGTGTATGTATGTATGTGTGTGTGTGTGTGTGTGTGTGTGTGTGTGTGTGTGTGTGTGTGTGTGTGTATACGTGGTGAAACACCACACCAATGTGCAAGGATGTGAACAATACAGGTGTATCTTATCTTATCTTTCCGTATCTTATCTTATCTAATCGTATCTTACCTTATCTTATCTATCTTATCTTAAAGGGCCATGTGGAATGTGTTAGTGTTTGATTTACAGGTGAGTGTGTATAGTAACTCGGAGATGTAAACATTATCATGTACAAAGTGAATGGTTGGTTGGTGGTCTGGGGTGGTTTGTTCCTTCTTTCCTATCAAACATAATCTATCGTCTTTATCCCTCCTCCTTTTTATGTTTCTTACTCTCTTGTAACATCTTTAATCTTCGGGACTTACATGCCTTCACTGGTTACAAATAGCGTAAGAGCCTTACTAAAACTTTAAAAATAACAAGTACATGGAATAATATTATGTTAAAGTTTTGCTTATGCAATGGCGGTGGGTGGACCAAAATGTGGGTGGGTTAAGAAATGGGTGAATGTTGAGTTCAAAGATCAGATTTCCTCGATTCAGAGAACATTCTATATTATGTGAGTATGTTTCATGCACACACTCACACGCACACGCACACAAATAACAGTGACTGGATTAGGCCTTGTAATCGCACAAAGTAAGAAATTCCGAAAGAGGGCCTATTGAAGATGTTTAGGTTACTAGGTCTCTGTAAAAAGTGTGCCATCAACTCCCCCCTCCCCCCCCCACCCCATTGTCAGGGCTTTTAAAGGGACTATAGCTCCCCAAAACAACAGTTTTTGCCGGATCTCTTGTTTCTTGTACCTTTTTTTCACGGAAAGTTTCATGATGATGTTTCTTGTACCTTTTTTCACGAAGAGTTTCATTAAGAGAAGAACGTGGGAACGGGTTCGTGCTTTGCTGAGCCCTAATGCAGAGCCCTAAAGACATTTGATTTTCTGTTAGGTTACTGTTGTAGTAAGCTATGGCATCAGTGATTGGATAAGCGTGCAACTAGAAGTGGAAGATTCTGAAGCAGTCTTAACGGTTTCAGCTAATTATTTCGTTTATTAAGAAACATTTATGTACTTTGGGAAAGAATAAGAAAGGTGGTAGTGGGTGGCGGCTCAAACCCTTTACTACGCCCCACCACGGAGCTTATGGTGGGTGTGAATCAGAAATGTGTACATGAATGTAAATTATGCTACTGTTTGGGTTATGGTGGGTATGTTCTAACACAAAAATGTGTGTGTGGAATAATAATATGTTAGTGTTTAGTGAGTTGCTGGTAGGTGCCCTTGTGTGATTTGCTCCTTCTTTCCTATCAAATATCTATCTACCTATCTCTCCTTGTTTTTAGCCTGTTTCTCTCTAGTAAAAACCTCTGCATGTAGTCTTTGATTGCTATATGATCTCAGTGTGTTGCAGGTGCCGTAAAACACTTTTTAAAGCTAAAAATGTACATGCATGTTGAAAGTGTTACTGTTTGGTTTATGAACAGTGCGCCTTGTAACACAAATATTGATAAATATATGTATGAAATAAGTTAGTGTTTTGATTTTGAATGAGTATTTTGTTTGAACACATAAATATGTACATAGAAAGGGTTGTAACTGAATCATGTGTGGGTGTGTTTCTGGTTTTAGAGTGGGAGACTTCAAACTGATCGAGGGTATCCCAGGACTTTACAATGGCTGGTACAAGCCTGACAACAGCTGGACAGGACTAGAACCGAGCTTTTTCGGTCACTCGAACTGGACCGACTTCAAAGGTCTCTACAACATTAAAGGTGAATGTGTGAGAGGGTGGTTGGTGGGTGCCGTAGTGTGGTTTGTTCTTTCTTTTATATCGAACATGTACCATCCTTATCTCTCTGCCTACTTTGTATTGTATATTACTCTCAGGCTGTCCCCGTCTTTTTATGCAAGAAAAATTCTGAAATCATGCAAACTGAGCCCAAAAATGTGAAAGTATGCGATTTTGTTAATTTTAACAAAAAACGATAAAGGAAAATAATCAGAAATTATGCAAAAAATGATCAAATTTTGCTAAATTATGCGAGGTGCATTAAACAACTTGGACAGCTCTCTGGTACTGCTTAATCTTTGACCTTCTTATGACCTAATTGTGAGGCATTATAAAATTTAAGTGGGTGGTTGGCGGGTGCTCCTGTGTTGTTTGTTCTGTCTTTCCCATATCAAACATCTGTCATCATTATCTCTTCTCCCTCTTTTCTTTGTATGTTACACTTGAGTAACAACGAATCTTTGGCACTTCTATGACCTGATTGACTTGCAAAACAATTCTTACAAAAAGTATATATATATATATCAATCACAGATGGAAGACAATAAAAAGGTTATGTCTTTTGTTTTTAAACAGGATTTTTTGAAGAATGTAAAAGATGAACTCATTTCCAATGATGGGACCAGAATCTGTTCCCTTTATTTTATAATATAGATCTAAATGACCCCCAATTACTGACATAATGCTCATTAACTTGTACTGTGTTGAAAGGAATGTTTAATATAAGAAATGTCTCGGCAAGTCCCAGAATGAAATGTATATTACACTAGTAGCCCCTCATTCTTCTGGCTGAGACTAACGGTAAGCCACCTCACATTGTTTTAATGCTTGCCAATGATCTAGGTTCGTTTAAAACAGAAACGAGAATTTGATTTAAAACAAGTCTTTTTCACGGAAAGCCCCACAATGTGTTGTTTATGTTATACAGATGACAAGTATGAACTCAACAGCTTGCAACATACTCAATAACCAGAATGTGCTGTTCATTTGTAACACAGATGATCCGCACGAGCACACCAACTTGTACGACAAACTCCCAGAGGTGGTGAAGAAACTTCAGGCCCGTATGTCCCACTACTACACAAAGATGGTGCCGGCCAACTACCCACCCCAGGACCCCAAAGCTGATCCCAAGAACTTCGACATGTTTTGGCAGCCAGGCTGGTGTTGAGAGGTCCAGAGATTATCAGAATCTATCAGTGTACTCATAGTAGATTGTGTGCTGTGACATATTATTATATTATTATTTGTGTGCTGTGACCAATTAATTGCGTACAATGACACATTAATTTTGTCTACGGTGGCATACTTGTGTACCGTGACATATTTGTGTACTGTCACATAGTTGTGTGCTGTGACATATTTGTGTACTATGACTTATTTGTGTGCTGGGACATATTTGTGAGCTGTGATATATTTGTGTGGTGTGTGCTGTGACATATTTAAGTGATGTGACATATTTTTGTGCTGTGACTTATTTGTGTGCTGTGATATATTTATGTGCTGTGACAAATTTGTGTGCCGTGACATGTGTGTGCTGTGTGCTGTGACATATATGTGTGATGTATGCTGTGACATATTTGTGTCCTGTGACATATTTGTGTAATGTGTGCTGTGACGTATTTGTGTCCTGTGACATACAATGTGTGTGTTGTGTACTGAGAAATATTTTATGTGTGTGCTGTGGCTTAGTTATTTCTGCGACACAGTTGTGTACTGTGTGCTGTGGTGTGATGTAATAATCAGCGGGGAGATTTTCATGGAGCAAAAGGATAATCACACAAAGCTATATTGAGATGAGATGCAGTATTTATTGTGGTTTTTGTTCATTACTGGTATCATGTTTGATGTCGTGTCTAGTTTTGTTGTTGTTGTAATATTATTATTATTATCATCAAATTGACTGTAGGGGAAATGTGGCATTGAGGTAAAGTACAGTGCTTTTCTCTCTTGCCAAAGGAACTGATTTTGAACCCCGTCCATGCCAGCATGTCTACTAATTTCTCATCTTCTTCTTCTGCCACTTTTTCCCCTCCTCATCTTCTTTGTTTAAAAAAAAAAAAAAAAAAGAAAAAGGGTCTTACTCTTTTGTTATTGGTCCTTTTGCATGGCTGTTGAAGTAACCGTATATATTTTTTAAAAATTATTATTATCGTTGGCTTAATGTTACTTCTCTGGGACTTGGGAAATCTGAAAATAGTCCCAATTTTTGTAGTTTTTTAATGGTGTCCTGGGTGCATAGAAATTTTATTTTGTTTTGACGAATTGCTTTTTTCCACCTGCTTTTTATTTTACCATTGTCAAGTAGTAATGATACTGTGTAACTTTACCCTTTTTTATAAAAGAAAACTATTTATCAATGAAAGTTCTCAACAAGTTTTGTACTTTTAAAGTGCCATGCATGCAACATCTATCTATCTACCTTTATGTACTTTATGTATTTTATTTTGAAGCGCAAACGGCCTTGTTGAAAAACTTACTTCATACTTATAACGTGACGCAAGACCAAAAGTCTTTCAACTTTGTGTTCTACAATTTTAAGACATTTAATGTGCTTTTTAAAAATATCTTTGTGAATGTTTTGTTGTTTTGAGTTGTTGTTTTTTAAGTGTAGACTCATTTTGAAGGAAAGTACCGCTACAAATGGTTGAGAACAGCTTCAGTTTCATTTTGTAAGTCACACACTCAACTCATTAAGCCCGTGCCATAAGGCTGACAGTTTCGGCAAAGGACCGTCTGCCATATATCACATAAAATATGATTGGCACAATTAAAATATTGTTCAATATGGTCGCAAGGTAATGAAAAAAGGCAGATTTATATATGGGCTGTGGGTGGGGTGGGGGTGAGGGTGGTGGTATTCACAAGAACAGTAAGTGAAATACCGTTTCCCCAAGTGCGTGCAATATTAATAGTCTGGATTTATTTTTTTCCATTTCAACTAGGTTTGTCCTGGTAAAAGGCTATATTTTTGACATGATATACTTTCATTTTGCAATATATGTATTCCACTTACAAAGTTGTTTTTTATCCGCAGTAAATTTTGTACGTCTTTCAGCTCAAGATTTTTAATGCCATAGATTGGTGGGGGGGGGGGGA